AGAAAATGAAAAAAAGGAAACAAAGTCTTTGTAAATAGGGAGGGATGGAGGGGTTGAAGGGAGGGCAGAGGAAGGGGGAAAAATAAGAACCAAGAGAGTATGTAAAGATGCATATCTCCAATGATGAATGTCATTATATTGTACACCTAAAATGTACCAATAAAAGTATATACAAAAAAATGTATTATATATAAATCTACAAAAACAAAAAGAGAAGAAGTCTTGGGCCCCGGATTTAGCTCAGTGGTTTCGCCGCCTGCTACGCAAGCGCAAGGACCTGAGTTTGATCCCTGGTCCCAAAAAATAAATAAATGAATAAGTCTTATAGTAAAATACTTAGCTTTATATAATTTCCTAATCAGGAAAAAGTTATGTCATTTTTAGTCTACTATGGAAATGTTTAAACTTATACAAAAGTAGATAGAATAGTGTAATGAACCACATATAATCACCCAGGTTGCAAAGTTACCAACCATGTGCAGTCTTAGTTCATGTATCATTTTAATCAAAGTACTGTATATAATTACAGACTGAAGCTCAGAATTAACCAACGTGTACAGAAGGATTTCCTTTAGTACAGCTATTTTAAATCTGCAGGTTGTAGTATCTCTACTTTTCTTGTTATTTAGAGGTTGACAAACCTTGGTTAGGAAATAGTTCTGCCTAGATTTAGTAAACTAGATCTAATTAATGTTAAAAATCAGTTCTTTATGCTTTTAAACATAGATTTTAGTAAAGCAAAGAGAAATTCTCTGTAACCTATTTTACAAATAATTCTTTGCCCAGATAGTGTTTAAAACAATATGAATCTCTTGATCAAGCCCATTGCCTCTTCTTATTCTTTCTTAAGTAAAGATAGTTATTGACCAACATATTCTGTGTAATTGAGGTCCATAATTCCTTATCTGAAATCCTTGGAGCCAGATATATTTGGAATTTATTTTTTGTTTTTGTTATTTTGGTATTTGAGACAGTATCTCACTTTGTTGTTCTGGCTGGCAGTGAAATCACTGTGTAGCCCACCTTGGCCTCAAACTCAAAGTGATCCTCCTGCCTCAGCCTCCCAAGTAATAGGATTACAGGCATGAGCTACCATGCCCAGCTATATATTGGGAATTTCAAATTTAGGGGACTTTAGAAAAGTTATATAGCACATCATTGTATGAATCCTAGGAAATCTGAAACAATACCATAAACTATAATCAAATACATTAATATATCTATGGTAAAATGTTTGAATATTCAAAGTCCAGCCAGTTTTGCCAATAGATTGGTTTACTATAATATTACATTTTTCAGTTTTTTGGATTTTAGAGTTGTAGATAAAGTGATAGTACATATCATACGCTATGTTGAGAAGTTTAACATTCTATAGTCTGTGGTAAACCTATTCTGTAAATGTTTTGTCTTCATTTAGTAGTAAGTTTTAATAAAAATATTTCCATTACTTCAGCTTTTTTCAGTTGAGAGATTGTTGCTGATAGCCATATTTCGAGATGGATTATGAAGCCACAACCTAGCTTAGTGAGAAAGAGTACTATGATCAGTTATTTGTAGTTGTCATGGTCGTTAAAGTACAAAATGATAACATATTTACTACATAATTGTTAATCCTGATGGATCTCAGTGAAGATGATGTTTTTGGATCTTTTTATCCTACTTTTTTTGTGTGCCTTCTTGATTCTACAATGCTTTTCAAGTTCAATATGCTTAAAGTTAACTCTGCCTCTTTAGGAAGACATAAAAATATAGCACCTTTTCATCAGACATAGGATTTTCCTAATTATAAATTAGCCTTCAAGGGGCTGGTGGTGTAGCTCAGTGGTAGAGCACTTGCCTGGCTTTCGTGAGGCCCTGAGTTTGATCCCTGGCACTACAAAAATTAATTAACTTTTTACAGGTCTACATAATTGCTGTACAAAGACATAAAAATCACAAACAAACTCTGAAGACTGGCACCTGTTTAGAAGACAGTGTTAAAAGTGGGTCCCACTCACCAGATGGACTGCTTGACCTAGTCTGCACTGACCTTGGCACACTGAGCAGACTTTGGCTTGCTGCACTTCAGGATTATGCTCTCTTATCTTTGCCTTCAGAATTTGCTGCCCAACTTCCTGCTGAAGGTAAGGAAATAAAATAATCACATAATTCCTAGAGTAACTGTTTTTATGCTTCCAAAGCTTCTCAGCACCAAGGTAATATTTGTCTGTCTGAGGCAGGAGGATACTGTGAGTAGAACCTGTCTCAAAAAAAACAATAAATAAATAAATAACAAGGCGCTTGCAAGGTAGGTCAGTGCAGAAGCCCTGGGCTCAATCTCCAATACAAGAAAAAAAAGAAAGATTTAAGAAAATAAGGCAAAATACTAATGTCAACCTTGAAGTTGGATAAATGGTATTGGTATCATTTTAAACATATATACACATATTTTTAAGTATTATGGTTAAATTGTAAAAAGTTAGGAAATAGCATGGAAATTTTTAGAAGGTTAAATAAATTAGCCCTGTAGCCCAACAGTTGTACTCCCAGAAGAAATAATATTGGTAACAAAATATTGATAGAATAGCAGCATGAATGAATCTCCAAAAGTATGATTAGGCAAAATAAAGTCAGTCACAAACAAGAACATAGTATTGATATGATTTCATTTATATGAAGCCTAAGAACAAACAACTCTGCTGATAAAATCAGAAGTTGCTTTGAGATATATGAACTTTCAGAGTGATAAAATGGTCTTGTAACAAAGAAAAAGGAACGTGTACTTGGAGAAATCTTTTTTTCCACCTGAAACTACTTCCTTTTCTTTTTGTTTTTCTTTTTTGTTGTTGTTTTGTTTTGTTTTGTTTGTTTCTGTAGGTGGCACTTTCTATACAGCAGAGACTACTGAAAATGCAAAACTACATTATTATAACTCCTGGGCCCTCATCCTCCATGCTACGGCACTGTGGCTTACAAGCACAGGCTTTGTTGTTGCTGACCCAGATGAAGGAGCGTCTAATCTCTCTAGGCCTGTGACACCAACTTCCATGTGTCAAGGTTCATCCTCCCGGGCTGCAGTCAAGTCCCCTGAGGAAATCTACACTGATAGATTCCATCTGATTTTAGGTCAGTAAAAGGCTTATAAATTTACAAGGCTAGGCTAGAAGCGTTCTTCCTGAGTTATTTCTCCTTGCCTGTGTCCTTGAGTGTTAGTGATAGCCTTGTTGTAAGAAGGTAAATTTGTATATGTATATATTTTATAAACTTGCAGATTTTATTATATTAAGTGTACAGTTCTATTACAAATTGACATGATGTCTGCTGGGTGTGGTAGTGCACACCTATAATCCCAGCATTCAGGAGGTAGAGGCAGGAGGATGGTGGCAGGTATGAGGCCAGCCTGGGCTACATAATACATTCAAGGCCAGCCTGGCCTACCTAGCAAGATCCTGTCTCAAAAAACAAAACAAAAAAAAAAGGTTGACTTTAGTGTCAACTTGAATAAATTATAGAAATTGCAGGAGAGGCTTGGTTCTTTCCACAGAATTTTCAAAAGATCCTTGTGGTGTCTATAAATATTCTTAATTTCTTGGGCCAGGGATTTAGCTTAGTGGTTCCACTGCCTGCCTTGCAAGCTCAAGAACCCGAGTTTGATCCCTGGTACAAAAAAAAAAAATTCTGAATTTCTTAATACATACACCAAAAAAAACCAATAGTTGGCTGAGGGGTTGTCCCCCTGTTCTCTTTTTTTTAAAATTTTAAAACAGTTGTGTTTTTTTTATATAACAAAACCTTTATTGGTACATTTTAGGCGTAGATAATGATAACATTCATCATAGGGTATTGAGGTTTTAAGAAAGTGTATGTTCAAGCCAGGTATAATCCCAGCACTCAGGAAGCTGAGGCAGAAGGATCACCCTGATTTCAAGGCCAGAGTGTAGCGAGTTCAAGGCTAACCCGAACTCTATAGCAATACCCTGTCCCAAAACACAAACCAAAACAAAAGTATGTTTAAGGTGGACAAGGTGGCAAACACCTGTAATCCCAGCACTCTGGGAGTCTGAGGCAGGAGGTTTCCGGATTCAAGCACAGCCTGAGCATTTTAGCAACTAAGTGTCTCAAAATAAAAAATATAAAAAAGGGCTGGGGGTATAGTTTAGTGCAAAGGCCCTGGGTTCAGTCTCTCATACTGGAAAAAAAAAAGTATGTTCAATGGTGTGGAATTGCAAATAAATATTAAAGGTCATAGTTCAGAAAATTTGAGATTTATAAAGTTGAATCCGTTTTTTAGTTTGTGAGAACTTTTTTTTTTTTTAGGTACCGGGCATCGAACTCCGGTCCTTGCGCTTGCGCAGCAGGTGGCAAAACCACTGAGCTAAATCTCCGGCCCCTGTGAGAACTTTTTTTTCTTTTTCATTGTTGGTGGTAGTGCTGGGCCAAAGCTTCGCACATGCAAGAGCTCTACCAAAACTACATTTTTAAAAAAGGGTTTTTGTTTTGTTTTGTTTTGTTTTTGGAGAGAAGGTCTTGCTGTGTAGTCCAGACTAGCCTTGAACTCACTGTGTAGCCCAGGCTGGCCTCAAACTTGTGGCAGTTCTCCTTCCTCAGCTTCCCAAGTGCTGGGACTACAGGTGTGCGCCGCCATGCCCAGCCAAAACTACATTTTTAAAGTAAGATGTTTTTCTAAGATAACACAAGTTTGTAGGGTAAATGGAATAAAATTTTAATTCTAAGGAAACAAGGTGTAAGTTTATTACCTATAAAGAACTTACTTAGTAAATGAAATACGAGGATTATAAAGGTAAATAATTGAAGATTCTTGGCTCATACTGTTTCTATTAATTATTCATTCCCAGGTGAGACATGCCAGATTCCTATATCCTTGAGCCTATTAAAAAGGTATTTTCAAGGGCTCGAGGTGTAGCTCAGTGTTGAAGTATATGTTTAACATGTGTGTGGCTCTGGCATCAAAAAAGTTGTCAGTTGCCTTAGTATGAGAGCTTTTCTTAAAACAATCTTTAAAGAACTGCAGGTGTGGTTCAGTGGTTGAGCACTTCTAGTACACTGTACAAGATCCTAGCTTTGACCTCCAATCCAGCAGAGTCAGTTGATAAATAAATAAAGGTAATAGTAGTGTCTGCTTCCAACAAGTATTATGAGAATTTAATAAACCAATTTATGTAAAGCATGGTGCCTGATACATGGTAATTACTCAAATTTTAGTCGTTAAATAGTACAAAGTTCTTTAATACAATTTTATTATAATTTTTGCATCTTTGAACTGTGGCATAGCAAGTAAGCAAATTGTATACAAGCCTGTTTAAGATTATTTTTGGTGTATGTGTAGATTAAAAAAAACAAGTTTTAAGAGATTTGCCTTATAAGCTTTGCACAGTGGTGGTATCAGAGCTAGTGAAATTTATGCAAGGTGTGATTGTTGCTAATTGAAGAGATTTGCCTTATCACTTATGTCTAGTCTTAAATTTATTGTAATTTAACTTGTACTACCTTTTTGCTAAGCTTATTTGTATAACTTATAAAAATAAAAGATTAACTTCATAAGCTAAGAATCTCAAAGAAGCCTCCTCTTTTTGCTTTCCACAGGAATCAGTGTGGAATTTCTGTGTTCATTACGCTCAGATGCAACTATGGAAAGCATTACTGCTTGTTTACATGCATTACAGGCTCTTCTAGATGTTCCCTGGCCCAGATCTAAAATTGGCACTGATCAGGTGATTTCTTGGTTTTTGTTAGGCTTCTGTAGATTCTAAGGGAACAGGAACATGTTCAGGTTATAGCAGTGAATAAAGAGAAGTAAAAATTAAAGAGCTACAGAGATAGGCCTTAGAACTGGAATGCTGTTAGCATATGTGCTACTGACTCAGGAGTAATCATGCCTCTGATTCTGTTACTTTCTGTCTTTCTGCAATGATGGGAAGGTTCTCTGTTGCTTTGTTCAGTACAGTAGCTACTAGTTATATGTGCTGTTTATTCTTTGCTCCATTTCACTGAATACTGATCTTCACATTTATGTGTATCTTTTTTTTTTAATCTGTATCTTATATTCCATTTCCCCAGGAGATATTGTTCATTAGTTCTTGTAATTATTGCCAGTTACAAAGTATTCCTCTTGGCTGTGTTCTTCCCTCCTAGTTTTCTTCCCCCCACCCCCAGAGACAGGTCTGGTATGTCACTCAAGCTGGCCTTGAACTCACTCTGCACTCCACACTGGCCTAGAATTTGTCTCATTCTTCCTGCCTTAGGCTCCTGAGTCCTGGGATTACAGGCATGTGCCACTATGCCTGGCTGTCCCTCCAGGTCTTTTTAAGACTGCTAGCTAGCCTGTAGATGGAGTCAGATACTCATATCTGACCCAGTTGTGGCCTTGGTAAAAGGATTGCTGCACAAAGTGTGGCACTTCTTTTGACTACTCTCCTCATGGGTAAATATGCATTTGTAGGTCTTAGCATCATGTATTATTCAGTATATTAATTCTGTTGTCATTAACTTGAGTGTTAAGGTAAATGGATACTATGATTTCCTTTCTACATAGACTAATATTTAACACTATCATTTATTATATTTAAAGCATTAGTCAAGTTCTTACTTAACTTAATTGGACATGGATAAATCCTCAACTGTGCTTGTTTTCTCTGTATGTTAAAACAAGCATAATGATAGATTTACTGTTATTTTCAAAGATGAAAGAAAGTGATCAAAGTAACTAATAAAAAGAGAACATAAAATAAGTGATTTTATTCATTAGAGAGACATCTGTTTTAATGCCATACCTCTCCCTCATTTTGTTTGGTTTGGTTTTGTTTTTTGAGACAGGGTCTCATGCTGGCCTTGAACTTGCAGTGATCCTCCTGCCTCAACCTCCAGAGTGCTGGGACTGCAGGCATGTGCCACCACGCCCGGCTACTCCCTCATTTTTTATTATTACTAGAAAACCTTAATATAAATTTAAGAATCAACATGTCAGCTCTTGTATTCTTTTGCCGAATTTCCCATTGTATTTTGGGAATTTCTTTTTTCTGTTTTCCCATTTTAGAATTTGTATGAAAATGACCTTTCATCATAATATCAAAGATTGGACTAAAAGAAGTTTAGAGTTGGTTTAAAGTGTTATTGTGTTGACATATTTTTTTTCTTCTTTGTTTTTTTGGATGCTAGAATTGATACCAGGGCCTCATGCATGCTGGGCAACATCTTTATTTCTTATGAGAAATTTGTCATATTCTCTTTTTCTGAATTTGGTCAAAATAATTTTGCTATATTTAACAATAAAAAAAATAGTGCATAGTTTGCCTTACAGTTTCCACTACATGTTTTCTATGATAGGACTTGGGTATTGAGTTGCTGAATGTTCTACATCGAGTAATTTTGACCAGGGAATCACCTTCCATTCAATTGGCTTCTCTTGAAGTGGTAAGGCAGATTATCTGTGCAGCTCAAGAACATGTGAAGGAAAAAAGACGAAGTGCAGAAGGTAAATATTAACCCTTAATTCCAAATTAGTCACATAGCATTATTATTTTTAAGGTATTACTTAATATATCTATGAAGTGTAGATAATCTATTGTCTATAGGACAAATGGAAAATCTCTAGGTATGGCTTTAAATCTTCTTGTTCTTTTGTGCATGTTAGTACTGTTCTTTGGGAAAATGAGAATTTTAGCAAAACTTGGGAGAAAAAAAATCCTTTATACCAATAGAGTACTTATTTTAGCTCTGTTTACTGACATGCATAACACAAACAACTGATAATTTTTTAGTGCCTTGAGTTGACAGATTGCTTGTTTATAAGCCTAATATGGTATTGGTGAGTTATCATTTAAGATTATATTTGGCTACATATAATAGAAAATTCAATATAATGTAGATTTAAAACACAAGAATTTATTCTCTCATCTAACAAGAAATTCAGAGGTAGGGGATCCAGCAGTAGGGCTGGTATGGCAGCTTCTTAAAGACATCAGGGACCTAGGTTCCTGTCTTTGTGCCCAGCCACTGCTAATACCTAAAGTGCTTATATTCCTAACAGTAAGGAAGAGTTAACCAAGCAATATTTTAAAGCTGATGAGGTTACAAGGATTTTTTTTCCTTATCCATTGCAATAGTAAATCATAATAAAGATAACTGTTAGTACCTCCATAACTGCTTTCTCCTTAAACAGATCCACAGTTTTAGCCATTAAATATGTTACCTATAACAGAAATGAATGATTGCCATCTGCCAGAAGCAAAATAAGCACAGAGTATTTATTAAGTGCTGTTCTTTCTGTCTTTTAGTTGACGATGGGGCTGCTGAAAAGGAAACCCTTCCAGAGTTTGGAGAGGGAAAGGACACAGGAGGACTTGTGCCTGGAAAGTCTTTGGTCTTTGCAGCATTGGAATTATGTGTATGCATTCTAGTTAGACAACTCCCAGAACTAAATCCTAAGTTGACAGGTACCCCAGGAGTGAAAGCTACAAAGCCACAGATTCTGTCAGAAGAGGGAAGCCGGTTGGTTTCAGCTTCATTGGTTATCCTCTCTGAACTTCCTGCAGTGTGCTCTCCTGAAGGTATGCTGTGGTATGTGAAAACTTTACTTGACCTAGAAGGAAGAAAAATGGCTTTAGTAAATGGGGCCTAAAATAGAAGGAAAAAATGGAAACAAATCTTTTTAACATAGGGAGGGGAGGGGGTTGCGGGGGGGGAATGGGATAAAATAAAATTTATTTTAAAATAATAACAATTAGGCCTAGTTGCTAATCTTTTTTTTTTCCTCTGTATTGACTGAATACAGGACCTCATGCATGCTAAGCAAGCATTCTACCACCAAGCTGCCCTCCATCACCAAGTCCATACTCTGTAATTAACATAGGTTTTAAGGCTTTCTATAAGGCTCTCCTGAGTCTCTGCCTTTACCATCTGTGCAAACGTAAACCTAGAAGGCTTCACGGTCATCCTTCTATACCATTATCTATGCTGTTACTTGATCTGCAAATCCCCGTCCTCTCTTTGCTTTTTAAAAGTTTTCATCCTTTGAAGTTCAGCTGGAGAGCTGAAGCTGTAACCCAGTGGTAGAGCACTTGCCTAGCATGTGTGAGACCCTGGGTCCGATCACCAAAACAGAAAAAAAGAGGGGCAGGCTTTGGTGACTCTAAATAACCTCTGGCTGTTCACAGGCCCCCTGTGGCAGCAATGACCCATTTGAACGGCTGCCCTATCAACTGTCAATGGTAGTAGCCATGCCGACCTTAGTGACCACAGGTGACAGAGAATCAGGGTTCAATTCCAGAGAGGGAGCCTGAGAAATAGCTACTACATCCAAGGAAGGCAGCAGGTACACAAATTACCCACTCCCCACCTGGGGAGGTAGTGATGAAAAATAACAATACAGGACTCTTTCAAGGCCCTCTAATTGGAATGAGTCCACTTTAAATCCTTTAACAGGGATCCATTGGAGGAAAATCTGGTCCCAGCAGCCGTAGTAACTCCAGCTCCAATAGCATGTGTTAAAGTTGCTGCAGTTAAAAAGCTCATAGTTGGATCTGGGGGGGCAGGTAATAATAATAGTAGCTCCATTCCAGGCCTAACCCATCTGTAAAGAGTTCCTTTAAAACTCAACCTCAGGAAGGCACAGTAGTAAGTATCTACAATACCAGCTACTAAGGAGGCTGAGATAGGATCTCAAGTTTGAGCCAGCCAGCCTGGGCCAATTAGCAACACCCTTTCAAAACAGAGGGCTGAAATTGTAGCTCAGTGGTAGAATGCATAACTAGCATGCACAAGACCCTTGGTTCATTGCCAGTATTACAAAAAGCAAACAAAAAACTCAAACTTATACTGAGGTTTGTGAGATAGATAGGTGTGTGTGTATGTATAAATAATTTCTGTACATAGGTATATAGTTTTTATCTGTCTGAGAGGCATTATATGTAGTTATTTTATATGAAAAAATATGCACACACAGAGATGCATGTGTCTTCATTCCAACTTAATGTTGTATACTCTATAAAATACACCATATAACAGGTATTCAGTATTTAATAGATACTTAATTGGTAAGCATATTTTTGCTTAAATATGTCTCTTGTACTTCTTGTTTTCACACAGTCTTAGACCAAGAGTTGAAGAAAAGGTGATTAGCAAAAGATTAGAGGGGAAAACACACAGTATTGATTTTGCTGAGTAGGCTTCAAGAAAATTAAATACATTTTAGCTTTAATTTTTTCACATTCATTTGAAACTTAAAACTAATTTTTCAACTCCTCAATGGCCAATGAATAGATCCACATACTCTTTGAAAAGTGTCAGGTAAAAAAGCCAAAAACCAAGACCAGACCAGGCCACAAAAAGCCTTTATTACAGGGACGATCTGCTGGGCTGTCTCTGAACAAAGGAGAGACAAAAGCAATATGGCCAGGACAGAGCGCTGGGGTGAGCCTTGTAGGAGCTGGGGGGGGGGTGAGGGAGGTAGTGGCTAGGGACTAGAGGAGCCTGTGACGTCACTAGCTGTTAGGAGAGCAAGTATTAGGTTACTCTTTTGGTGGGAGTAGGGGCATGTTGGGAAGAAGGTTGTCCTTTGGTGGGAGAAGCCATCTTGGGGTGGCTTTAGGTGGGGAGCAGGGCATTATGGGAATAAGAAGGCATCTATTATATATAGCAGCCACCCTACATTGGAGGGAAATCTATCAGAAAGGAGTTTAATATAAAATGAATACAAATAGTACTGTTGTTACACCACATTGTGAATAGATATAATGACACTAGACTATACTTAAAAATGATCAAAATGGGAACGTTTGTTATTTATGCTTTACCACAGCAAAAGTAAATTATTTATTCACTACCAAATAAAACAAAACGAGACAGTATAATAATGCTAAGTAATAGAATTTAAATATCTCTAGAGCCAGGCATGGTGGCACATCCCTATAATCCCAGCACTCAGGAGACAGGAGGATCACAAACTCAAGCTCAGCCTGGACAATTTAGTGATTTAGTGAGACCCTATCTCAAAATAAAATTTTTAAAGGGCTGGGGATAAAGCTCAGGGCAAAGGTCCTGGGTTGAATCCACAGTACTGCAAAAAATAGTCATAAATAAATAAAAATAAAAATATCTCCAATTCTAGTCATCCAAATTTAATCCAACCTTAGCATGGCATGATGGCACATATCTGTAATCCCAGCACACTGGAAGACTGAGGCAGGAGGATTACAAGTTTGAGAACCTGTCTCAAAATTACAAAGGGTTGGAGATGTAGCTTAGTGTGAAGGCCCTGGGTACAATTCCCAGTATCATCATCATCCAACCTGAATAATCTTAATAAATTACTTAAATTACGCCAGGTATTGTGGTGCATGCTTATAATCCCAGCACTCAAGAGGCTGAGGCAGGATTGCTGTGAGTTCGAGGCCATCCTGGGCTACATAGTGACTTCAAGGCCAGCCTGGAATACACAGCAAGACCCCATCTCAAAAAACAAAACAAGTTAAATGATACTAAGTTAAAATATAAACATTCTGGATTCAGCCTTTATATATAGTGTGTTTAAAATTTTTATCTTACAGGAAGCATCTCAATTCTCCCTACCATATTGTACCTCACAGTTGGTGTCCTTAGAGAAACTGCTGTGAAGTTACCTGGGGGCCAGTTATCTTCAACAGTGGCAGCTTCCTTACAGGCTCTAAAAGGAATATTATCTTCCCCCATGGCCCGTGCAGAAAAGAGCCACACTGCTTGGACGGACCTTCTCCGAAGTGCTTTAACAACAGTTCTTGACTGTTGGGAACCAGGTAATTAAAGCTGTTGGGAAACATCTGCTCAGTTTATTTTAAAAAGTGAGAGGAACAGTATTTTGAAGCTAAGCTATTTACTTGATCATAGTTGGTCACCTGGAGACCATACAGTGTGTTTAGAGAATATGTACACATTTTAATATTTTAACCTTTAATATAAATGACCAGAAATCTATATGTTGTCAGTGAGAGACCTTTAAACCTAATAATCTGTTTATCTTAAAATGTGTGATCATCAGTGATGATGAACCTTTTAGAACATTCAATGATACAAACAGCCCACTGCAGCACATGTGCTGTAGATTTTCCACCGCTGATCTATATCTGACAGAACTTTTTAGTATACACAGTATACTGAAAAGTGTATAAGCCATACGTTACAAAGTGGAGTTAATCTGGTTCATCACTCCAGTATTTACTAGCTAAATAACTGGCCAAGTTACCCAGTTTTTCTGAGACTTACTTTTCTCATTAACAAATAAGGATATTATTTTTTGTTTTAGTTTTTTGGGGGGGAGGGTTGGGGATTTTTTTGTTTTTTGTTTCTTTGTTTTTTGGGAGTTTTTTGTTGTTTTTTTGGAAATAGGGTCTTCCTATGTTGCCAGGCTAGCCTTGAATTCACAATCTTCCTGTCTTAACCTTTTGAGTAGATACAGGCACCACAGCTCCCAGCAAGGACATTATGTTGCAGGAAATTGTTAGGTTAACATAAAATATAAAAAGCATCTCACTTATTACCTGGCATATATCAATAAATGATAGTATTATTTTCCATATCCATTAAATATATTTTGTCTTAAGTCTGTATGTGGGCGTTGTTTTGGGAATGTTTTGTTCTGTGGTGTGAGCATTAAATACAGGACCTTATGCATACTATTAGTGGTAAGTGATGTACCACTGAGCTGCACTCTCATTCCTGTTGTATGGTTTTTTATTCCAGTAGTATGTTATAGTGGTTGTTAAAAGTCTTCTGACATACTAGACATTATTCTGCCTTTCTTGTCCTATTATAAATGTCAGTTTGAGTTTATGGAGCAAGAAGAGGACCAAAATCAAGATGGAATGAAATTTAGAAGATAGTGTAGTCACAGAAGCCAAATAAAACTTTTAATAGAGAGGGGATGGTCAGCAGTGTGAAACACAGTAAAGAAGCCAAGCAGTGTAGGGGATGGGCTTACAGTGTAAGAGACAATGAGAGCCAAGGAAGGGGAAAGACACAGACTTCTCTTGATAGAAAGAAGAAAAATAGCTGAAAGGAAGGTGTTGGACCAAGGAATAGTTTGTTTTAAAGATGAAACTAGTATGAGTTCATACTTACGGGGTAAAAAGAAAGTGGAAAGGGAGTTGCTAATACTAAAGAGGAAAGCAACATCCCCATGACAGCACATTCAGGATTAACCTTTGCCAATATAAGAGAAGGAAGATAAGGTAAGCATGAAAAGTAATAAGTTTTTATACTGAAGGTTTTAATGAGCTTGCCACTTTTATAACATACACAAAACAGTTTTGGGATTTTTTGTTGTTGTTGTTTGTTTTTGGTTGTGTTGGAAGGAATAAGGTAGAACTTAGAATTTAGACTAGTTACTGAGAGAAGTTAAAAGAGCTGATCATGGCAGCGCATACGTATTCTGTGTAACATATTGCCTCAAAACTTAGTGACTTAAAACAGCAAACATTTACCATCTGACAGTTCCTATGGGTTAGGGATTTAGGAGCACCTTAGCCAAGTGGTTGTGGCTTAGTGTGTCTTAGGACATTACTGTTAAACCATAGGCCAGGATTCCAGCTGGAGGATCCATCTCCGAGATGACTCACTAAGTCAGCTGGTGACAAGAGGCCCCATTTTCTTAGGACAAAGGCTGCTCCATAACACTAATACTAAGGGAACTTTACATCTATCCAAGAATTTTAGAAGAAATGGAAAGAGGAACCCAGAAAAACTTTGTCTTACTGAGAATAAAAAGATAGTTTTACCAAACTAAATATGATGCAGTTTCCATTTGCCATAATAATTTAAATTTGCTGTATGGGGAGCAATATAGCTGCTGTCTGAATCAAACTGTCTGCCTTACTAACTATTTGGCTTTGGCAAGTGACCAAATTTCTGTTTCTCATCCATAAAATGGAAGGGAGTAGAGTACTTATTTTGTGGCGCTGTCTGTTGTGAGGGTTAAATGTTTAATGCTTGTAACATAGCTATCATTTGAACTTTAAATTTTACCTGTGTACTAATTATACCTTAAAACTACTCAAATGTTTGATCCTCGGTACCAAAAAAAAAAATTTTTTTTCAAACATCTTTTTTTTTCCCTCAGTACCAAGGCTCAAACTCAGGATCTTGTGCTTGTGAGGCAGCCACTGTGCCACTAACCTAAATCCGCGGCTCTCTTTTATTTTCCCAGTTTATAGTATATCTTCTGTATAAATTATATTCTTGGTGCCTAAAAGAGGGCTGGCACTTTATTGTTTAAATATTTGTTGAATGAGTTTGACCAAATGCATCAGTCAGCCTTCTATCACTGGAACAAAACACCCTCAGTTCGGAGGAACAGAGGTCCTTCTTAGCCTACAGTTTCAGTGTGTTCAGTCCATGATCTGCCAGGTCCAAGGCAGAAGTGGTTTGGTGGAGAAAAGCTACCTATATTATGGCTGCCAGGAAACAGAGAAGGGAAGAGCCAGGGTGAGACTACACTCATCCAAGGCATGCCCATAGTGATCCATTTCATTGAGCCCCTATCTCTTAACAGCACATTCTGCTACTGAACCCATCACTAATGAGCATAGCACCCCCACTATTTAATCACCTTCTAAATGCATGAGATTTATCAGGCATGATGGCACACATCTGTAATTCAAACGCAATACTTTTAGGGGACATTTTAGGTCTAAACCATAACTTTCTGCCCCTTATCTAAAATGCTTATGTCCATTTCATTATGTAAAATCCATTTAGTCCATCTCTAAGAATCACCAAAGGCTTAACAACTCTGGATTTGCTGAAAAGTCAAATCCAAAGTCTCCTCTGAGATTCAAAGCAAATTCTTAGCTTTGAAAGGTGGTGTGATGCCACCTATAATCTTAGCACTTGGGAGACTGAGGCAGGATGATTGCTGTGAGTTTGAGACCAGCCCAGGTTAGTCAGTTAAGACCACTCTGAACTATATACTGAGACCCTGTCTCAAAAAACAAAAAACAACTCTTAGCTATGAGCCTCTATAAAAATCAAAAAGAAAGTTAAATACTTATAACATTGATGCAGGGCAAACATTTCTATTCCAAAAGAGAGAAATAGAAGGATAGAAATAGTAGGACCAAAGCAAGACCAAAACCCAGCAGGGGAAACATGAAATCCTGTAGCTCCCTATCTAGCATCTGGGGCACATAACAGTGAGATATGACTTCCAAAGGGCTTGAGTTGTGTAGCCCATCCCTGTAGTTTTGCTGATTGCAGCCCCCTCTCTTGGGCTGGCTTTGTTTGCTGCCTGTGGCTTTCCTCAGTAAATATTCCACGTTGCTGGCATCTCCAAATTCCTAGCGTCTCCACTGCACCTTTGGCTTCATTCTCACAGCTTCACATACATCCCTCTGAGAATAGCTTCCCAGGTATTCTAAAGTCTGGGTACAAGCCTCCCTGGCCCTACAACTCTTGCATTCTGGATGCCTAAAAAAACAGCAACATATCGATGACATCAAGGTCTACCACCAGCTCCAGTGGTAGCCAGCTCCCCTTGGACCATGGCTGCGGTGACCTCTGAATGCTTGGCTGAGCACAGTGAATTGAATCCTGGGAATCAATTCCCTAGGCCAAGAGTCCCCAAGCCCTGGGTCACAGACCAGTCCATGGCCTCTTAGGAACTCGGCTAAGCACTTCTTAACAGCAGGAGGTGAGCGGAAGGCAAGCAAGCAAAGCTTAATCTGTTTGCAGCCACTCCCAATCACTCACATTACCCCCTGAGCTCTGCCTCCTATCAGATCAGCAGTGGCATTAGATTCTCATAGGAGGACCAATTCTACAGTGAACTGTACATGTGAGGGATCTAGGCTATATGCTTATGAGAATCTTAATGCCAAAACTACCACCTGCCCACTCAAACTTGGTCCATGAAAAATTTGTCTTCCATGAAATTGGTCCCTTGTGCCAAATAGGTCAGGGACCACTGCCCTAGGTGACCCTTCTCCAGCAGGGAACCCAGGGACTCTTTTCAGAGCAAAGCTTTATAATTTTATACCCTTACACCTATAAAAGGTAGGGTCTGGCTAATTATGAGCTGCCTTCAAGCCATCTTTCTTGTTGTCCTAATGCAAAGTACTTGGCTTCTTTTTAAAATACTGATCTTTTTATGATGGCTAATCCTTTTTTTTTTTTTTTTTCTTTTGGTACTGGGGATAGAACTCAGGACCTTACCCTTGCAAAGCAGGCGGCGGAACCACTGAGCTAAATCCCCGGCATAAAATACTGATCTTTTTAACAACCATGTTCTCTTTAACTCTTCTGGACCCCAGTTTTACAGGCTCTTCTGGCCATGCTTCAAACTTTTTTGTATCTTTTGGCTTTGCTGTATTGCTCCTGATTCTCACCATAAATCTGGCTGTAAGCAGCCATAAGTATTGCATACCACAGCCTGAATGCTGGGCTGTCTTGAAATTTCCTCCACCAAATCAATTAGTCTCTTGCCCTTAATCACTCTTCTCCAAAGTCTCAGGATATGGGCAAAAAACAGATCAATTTTTTGCCAGAGTATAACGCACATGGCTTCTAGTCCAAATGCCACCAGAGAGCTTGTTCCTAAAATGTCCTGAGTCTGACTTTTACTGTCCACATTCCTATCAGCATTCTGGTCTTCTGAGCTCTGACCAGGACCATGCATCAGACTGTGTTTACTGTATTCTAAGACGTCTCTGGCCAATCTCTTTCCAGACTCCTCTACCAAACCATTTCCAAAGGCTTCTAAATCACACCATCAGGTATGATCACATCATTGACATTATTCTAGGTACCAATTTTCTGTACCAATCAGCCTTCCCTTCACTGAGACAAAACACCTGACACTTGCAACTCAGAGGAGGAAAGGTCCATCTTGGCCGATAGTTTGGTTGGTTCAGTCCATTGTTGGCTGCTCCAAAGCAAAATGGCATGGTGAGGGCTGGGGATCTAGCTCAGTAGTTTCACCACCTGCTGCACAAGTGCAAGGACCTGAGATCAATCCCTGGTACCAAAGGAAAAAAAAAAAAAAAGCACGGTGAAATGGCATGAGAATGGAAAGCCATCCATATCATAGTGACCAGGAAGTAGATAGAAAAGGGAAGAGCTAGGGCAAGAATATACCCTTCTAAGTCAGGGCCCCAGTGAACCACTTCCAACTAGGCTTGACCTGCAAGCACCACGTTCAGCACTGAATCCACTGATGAGTATAGCATTCCCATGAGTCAGTCACCTGCCAACCACCAGAAACTTTTGGGGGCAGTTTAGTGTAAAAAATAACACTAAAGCTACTATATTTGTATGTTATTTTTCACAAGCAACAGTTCACTCATAAACAGTTTAATGAATTGTATTTGCCACACTTCTTTCTCAGATAACATTAATTTTTCACAATAGGTTCATTTAAATTATTCAGAGAGCATTACTTTGAAAAATGAAACAGTATAAGATTACTTCAAATAGAAAAGTCTTCATAAAATTGTGGCCTCCACAGCTATTTTGTCTGATTTTCTCTACTATTAAAAAATGGTGGGCTGGGGGTTTAGCTCATTGGTTCCGCCACCTGCCTTGCAAGCGCAAGGTCCCGAGTTCAATCCCTGGTTCCAAAAAAAAAAAAAGAAAGAAATGGTATGTGGCTGGGCATGGTGGCACATGCCGGTAATCCCAGCATTTGGGAGGCTGAGGCAGGCATCCTGAGCTACATAGTTCAAGGCCAGCCTGAACTACACAGTGAGACCCTGTCTCAAAAACCAAAAAAAAGAAATGGTATGTGTAAACAAAGTGCTAAGGTATTTTTACTTGGTACATGCATTATCTAATAGTAAAGAAAAAAATAATTGCCCAAGTATTTTGGAGTTGGTGCATAGTAGAAATAATAACCCAGGTACCATAGCACACTACTATAGTCCTAGCTACTCACGAAGCTGCACCAAGAGAGTCACTTAATCATAGGAGTTCAAGGCCAGCCTGGGCAACATAACACAACCCCATCTGTAGAACAGAACAAAAGATACTGTTATTAATAATATAATAGCTAATCCATATTGAGGATTATGTGTAGCATGTATTCTAAATGCATCACATAGTATGGTTTCAGATAATGCAATTCTTGCCTTTTCCTAATGTCTCACATAAGTTGACTCATTTATTCTTCATAACCCAATCAATATGAATACTGTTAATTCCCATTTTACAGATAAGAAAACTGAAGAAAAACTTCAATATCGAGGATCACAGAACTAGTGGATGTGTTTACTAATGTCTTTACCTTTGAAGATAATTGCTTTGCTAATTCTTGACTCTAGAATTACTTAAAATGCACATTTGCCAGGGTTCTTGTTTTTGTTTTTGGTTTTTTCCAGTACCAGGGATCAAACTCAGGACCTTGTGCTTCTGAGCCAGGTGCAACACCACTGAGCTAAATCCGTGGCCCTTCCCAGGGTTCTTAAAGTCTTGTCAAATCAGTGTTTATTCTCTGCATCTGTTGTATACACAAAAATAATTGTTGCTACCAAAAACAGTTTCATATATGTGCATAAAGCTTGAATATGATCTGTTCTAATAGATCATTTCTCTTTAGTCAGTGGAGCACATGAAGACCTTGATGAAGTCAGTCTGCTTACAGCTATCACAATATTTATTTTGACTACCAGTCCAGAAGTAACTACCATCCCATGCCTTCAGAATCGCTGTATTGAGAAATTTAAGGCTACTCTCAAGATAAAAGATACTGTGGTGAGTATCTTTTAGCAGAGAAGGGTTTGTAATAAGAATGTGTTCCAGGGCCAGGGATTTAGCTCAGTGGTTCCGATGCCTGCCTCGCAAGCACAAGGACTCGAGTTCGATCCCTGGTACCAAAAAAAAAAAAAGAATATGTTCCAGCTTTTGCAAAACTTTGTACTTTTGCTGACTCCAAAAAGAATTAACTATAATTTTTGGATTTGGGATTAATGCTTTTTCTTGTGGTAACAAAACCAGATAATAATGGTATTTATTCTTCTACTCTATGGGTAGAAATAGAGAAGAAATGTTAAAAATCTAAATTTGAAATGAAGAATGAATGTCTATCTTAAAACTGATGGACAGTATATCCCCATAAAGTCACGGTTCAGAGTTCAAGGCCTCAGTCGTTGATAGATTTTTCCTTAGAGCTTAACTAATTGTTTGTAGAAACCAGAAATATCCTCTGCAATTGTTTTTTTGGTAAGAGGTTTGCAAGTAGCCAGTCCAAGGGCATTACTCAGTTTTCTTTCCTGATTGGCGGCTGCCCTGTAACCCATCTCTGGCAGATACACCACCATTCCTGCATCATAACAGGTTGCTATTCCATGTGTAGCTATCTCAAGTGTTCTCAGTTTTGTTCTTCTTAAAGCCTGAAGATGTCCCAAAATGTCCTGCACCTTCTAAACTGTAAAAATAGGCATTTAAACTGTAAAAGTAGGCATTTTTAAACTGTTTAAACTGTAAAAATAGGCATTTTTCTGACCATATATGAAATTTGCAGTTTTTCATAATTCACGGGTACTCTAGGAACATAACCCCCGCAAATTTCAGGGGTCCACTGTAGATCTAGAACTTTTATTAATACAAAGTTTTATTGATAGAACTCTGTAGAACAAAGAATTTTTAGAAAATACTTTTGTGGCCAGGTGTGGTATTGCACACTTGTAATCCCAGCACTTTGGAAGGCTGTAGCAGGATGATCACCAAGTTTGATCCCAGCCTGAGCAACTTAGTGAGACTCTGTCTCAAAATTTAAAAAATTTAAAAAGGGCTGGGGATGTGCTTCAGTGCAACAGCCCCTGGGCTCATTCCCCAGTACTGCATAAAAAAAGGCTCTAGGGCCAGGGATTTAGCTCAGTGGTTCCACCACCTGCCTTGCAAGCACAAGGTCCCAAGTTTGATCCCCGGTACCAAAAAAAAAAAAAAAAAAGAATAAGGGAAATATTATAACTCTCAACGTGCTAGATGTCTGATTTGCTGAGTTCATGTTCTCTAAAATCAAAGAATGAATTTTAGGGACAACTGAGCTTTAAGTGTAGGAAGAATTTATTGAGAGAAAGATAGCTTCTAAGAGACAGAAAGGGACCTGTAAAGTGGATTGCCTGCAGACCCTGCTTTCCAAGGGAGTCTTACAGAGCAAAACCACATGGTAAGGCAGATATAAAGTGGGACAAAACTATAGCCAACTAAGATTAGAAGTATAGTTACTTAGGTAACAGTGGTTAAATGGGGATCAAATGGGGAAGCGGTAGCAGGCATACATGGAACAAACACTTTTCCAGGAAGGGATGGGTTAAGGTCTTGGTCCCCCACCCAGGTGATTGATGCCTATTTAGAATGTCAGTTACTGCTGTTCATCCCTATGGGAAATATGTAGGTATAGCCAATATTTTTTGTTTTAAAACCTGGCCTTCAATGAACTTGCTTTCAGCCACAGCTGTGATGTGTTTCCATCTTCTACATTGACTTTTTCGAGGGCCCAGCCCTGTCTGATTGCCTATAATATTTCTAACTTAGCTGTTTATCCTAATGTGATTGTGAAATAATGGGACCCATTTCAAAAACAATACATACAAATTGATTCCATTCCCTTATGGCCATTTCATTTATTAGATTAATTTCCTATTTTATGGATATGTAGCCCATGCTCACAAATATATCTAATCCCAAAGATATAGAAACCAAATTTTCTCTTAGAAAAAGATAATTATTCAAATACAATCATAAAATAAAGGATGACTCATGTATTTGATATATACTTGTTTTCTTCTATTCTTCTGTCCCATCTGTTGCCTGCTGCTTTCATATTTACATAACAGTCTCCACATAGTGGCTGTGATATGTGATCACACATACATGATTCCTTAAAACTTTCATGCCATGACATTGAATGTCAAATGTGTGTGACATGTCTTCAGTATTTTCTGAAATCACCAAATACTTTATAAATTTGTGTGTGTTGTTGTTTCTATTTGTTGTTGTTGTACATTATAGAGAGTGATATGAGGGAGAAAATGGGAACTAGGAAAAGAAGAAAAAAGCAACCATTCATAGTTACTCTTCCCTATTGTACTAATGTGCCTCTCTCCCACTCCAAACTGTTACAACCACTATTACCATCCAAGTTTGACTAACAATTGGTATTTAGACTTCCAAAATTAAAGATGAGTCAGAAATAAATTTTAATATCTTTGCTAATTTAACTGCAGAGAGTCTTCAGGGACTCTCCACCCCCCCCCCCCTTTTTGAGGGAGGATCTTGCTGTGTAATTCAGACTGACCTTGAACTCACTATGTAGCCCAGGCTGGCCTTGAACTTGTGGCAATCCTCCTGCTTCGGCCTTCCAAGTGCTAGGATTACAGGAGTGCATCACCACACCCAGCCTTTTTTTTTTTAATTTACAGTTTATAGTATTCTTATCTCTTTCCTGACTAGGTACAAATCAAGACCTATCAGCTCCTACATTCCATTTTTCAGTATCCAAACCCAGCTGTTTCCTACCCGTACATTTACTCTTTAGCATCTTCTATCGTGGAAAAACTGCAGGAAATAGACAAAAGAAAAACTGAAGATATTACTGAGCTTCAGATTTTTCAAGAAGGCATAAAGATCTTGGAAGCATTGGTTACCATTGCTGAAGAACAGCATCGTAAGTGTCAACAATGAATTCATACTATCTCCGAATCTCACCAGACTCTGAATTTCAGTATTAAATTGTAAAACATTCACTTACATTATGTATCAGTATTTCACATTTATTAAAAGTTCTAGATATTGATATTAATATTATTTAGTATTAATTTGGCAGAAGAGATTGGAAGAACTGTTTTCTCCCTAAGGGAAAAATGTGTACAGTTGGAGGGCTTTTGCATCCTTGTATAATAAACATTTATGTTCTGAACTTGCATTTATTTACTTTCTAGGCTCTCAGCTGGTGGCCTGTCTCCTGCCTATCCTCATTTCCTTCCTTTTGGATGAGAATGCTCTGACATCAGCACCTTCAGTAATGAGAAATTTACATGATTTTGCTTTGCAAAATCTTATGCAGTTTGGGCCTCAGTATTCATCAGTTTTTAAAAATATAATGGCTTCTTCTCCAGCCCTAAAAGCCCGCCTGGAGACTGCTATAAAGGGCAATCAGGAAAGTGTCAAAGTCAAGTTACCATCATCTAAGCATACTAAGCACTCTGGAAAGAATTCAAGCATCCAATTAAAGACTAATTTCTTCTGATTTTACTTGTTTTTGGAATAGTAAGCACCTTAATGTAATACTTGATCATTTGCTTCTCTTTGGGGACAAAAGAGAAAGTTTAGATACAAGTGCACTTGAAGATCTAGTTGATCGTTTTAACTTAAATAGCCCTGACTCTGAAATTGACAGCAGACTTAACATTTTGTGGGATTTTTTTCCCCCACTTAATTAGGCAATTGAGCTATCAGAACTTTAGCTGGAATTCAAGAATATCTAAATAATTAAATTTACTAAACAGTCCAGTGCTTTAAAATGGATTTCTTCTGTGAGCCCATATACATGTCATATACTTAATTCTTGACAGATATAGATTTAACTCTAGTATAAATTATCTGCACATGTATTGTATCCCAATCACTAATAGAAGATTCTGCTTTAATCAGTAATATTATTAAACTTCTTTAGATTTCTCCAGCAAGATTAATGATAGGAAAGCTATTTAGGAAACTTGGATTAGAATTATCCAGTATATTATGGTAAAAATTAATTGCAGCACTACAGTTTGACATGAGAGTTCATGCCCATAAATAGGACTTTACACCATCTTTTGGGTTAGTTTATATTGTGTTCACAAAATGAAAATTTTACTTATTTTAAATGGAATAGAGCATCTTCACTATTTCTTAAATGAATCTGTTACCTCTAGACATTTATGGCAAACATTTATTTTGATGAGTTTAATATACATTCATATCTATATTGTAAATATGGGTTTATATGAACGCCATATTTATACAACAAGTTTAGATCATCAGTAAATAAGTTTTTTTTAATAGGGAACATATTTTAATACAGAAAAAAACTAATGATCGAATCATTGGTTGAAAAATATTTTTTAACTGTGTTTATGATCATTGATTCTCCCTCCATTTTAGTGTTATACTGTGAATCACAGTACGTAAAGCATCTCCCTGTTAAAAATCACAAACTGAAGTAATAGGCATGTTCAGAATTGTGAAAACATGTTGATTGAAGCAAGGGCAATGTGATATACTCTATTTTATTATGTTTGTATCTACTCTTGTAAATTGTTCAGAATGGAAAACATTTGACAAATCTAATACTATAATCAATTTTTCTAAATTACATAAATAAAACTAATTTTCTTTATCTTTTTGTGTTTTAAATTATTTTACTCAGAAAAGATGACAGATTTCAGAAAAATTAATTCTATGGAGTAAATAAGATCCCTGTGTAACTTGGCCTTTTTTCTCAGAGGAGCCTTTCCTAGAGCATTCTTTGCAATGATGTAAATTCTGTCTTCCTAGATGTCTCTAGGAATTGAGTATCTATTTCTTACTCCCTTCACCCAGTATGCTCCTTTTTCTCCCATGTTCTATCTGGTGAACTGCAGGCCTTCTAGGCCTGGTTTAAATGACACTCCAGTTGTTAACACTCCTCAACACTATCCTCCTTACACTGAAAAAATGTAACAGCTTCCTCATGTGTGTTCCCATAGTAGTTAATACCTTCTTCAATGTATGAAACACCACAGTGCATTTCAGTATCATCTTAACTCCACTTACACTGTTCATCCTCATAGGGAGAAATGTTATCTTCTGTAACTGCCTCTGTAGAATCAACTAGGTGCTTAATAGCTGGTGAACTACACTGCTATGTATGGGTTGGATTTGGACCCAGAAATAACACTCTTTTGCCAAGGCAAGTCCTGGTCTGCACTGTTTTCTGGAAATAATTTGACTTGGATTTTTTTTTTTAATCTGTTTCAGTTGGTTCTTATGGTTTGTTCTTAATGTTAAGATTTTCTTTTCTTTTTTTTTGTACTGGGGATCGAACTCAGGACCTTGCGCTTGCGAGGCAGGTGGTGGAACCACTGTGCTAAATGCCCAGCCTAATGTTAAGATTTCTAATACTCATCATTTAGTGGCATGATGACCTGAATTGTTTGGGTTAAAGATTCTGTATGAAAGCTGGGCGTGGTGGTGCAGGCCTGTAATCCCAGGCAGGAGGATCACTGCAAGTTCAAGGCCAGCATGGGGTACATAGTGAGCTCAAGCCCAGTCTGAACTATATAGCAAGACTATATAGCAAAAAAAGAAAAAAAAATTCTGTATGACTGTTAATAGTTATAAAAAACTATTATATCCAGCATCATGGGGTTAGGAACTTTGAGTTAGGCAGTATCATCCAGCCTTTTAATATAGAGCCATAATAACACTGAATTACTGAATGTTTCCTTACTGATAAGGAAGTTAAGGATTAACTGCTGAGGTTTGAACCCATTTCTGTGATGCCAGCATTCATGCTGAGACAGGCCAAGTGCTCTTGAGGTCCTTACTCCCCAGCACTAATAAATAAATAAACAAAGTTGATTAACAACTTCAAACAAAGTAGTATAATATCTGTCTTGAGGTTTTATTGTTGGTTTTTGTTTTGTTTTATTTTTGCTTATGGGAAGAAATAGACATAAAGCTACTAGTTGTTATTCTGTTTAACCTATTACTTAAAAGTTTATCATGAAAACATTGGTTATAACAGATTTCTCCTTTTTTTGATGGTACTGGGGATCGAACTCAGGACCTTGTGCTTGTGAGGCAGGCGCAGCACCACTGAGCTAAATCCCCAGCCTGTAACAGATTTCTACTAATTAAAACTAAATTTTACTTCTGTAAACTTCACCATCAACTCAGTAGGAACATTAAGGCACTTAAAAAGATATAAATAAGTGGTATTAAAAAGGCTCCATGTAGAGGCACATGCCTGTGATCCCAGCACTCCAGAGGCTGAGGCAGGAGGATCACCGTGAGTTCAAGACCAGCCTGAACTACATTGCAAGATCTTGTCTCCAAAAAAAAGAAAAGACTCCATATGAGACTGTGAGAGCCCAGAGAAGAAAAGTAGAACTTCCAAGATGAACTTCATGGAAAGAGTATCAGATGATACAGGTTTAGGGAATAGCATTTACTTGATGGAAGAGATAACCCAAGAGTCTTCAGCAACACTTTTGAAGGGAAGAATTAACTTTATTCTGTTACTATAATACTACCATAGATTTACATTATGAGGGAAGAAATTCAGCCTTCAAACTGTGATGTTAATACAAAACCAACAATATATGAATTAACTCTAGACTCCAACGAGCTATAAAGTTAAAATGTTGAATCACTGTTGACAGTTTAATGATTGTATTCTCTTATTTTGGCCACAATAGTAAAGCCTTACGTGTATCTTTCCAAGGCTCATTACTCTTCATAACTGTAAAATTGGTGTAATTACATACATTGTATTTTCTTCATCAATTGAATCTACTTTCTCCATTACAAATAACTTGCTAACCCTTATAGGGCCTCAATTTATCAAGAAAAATTTACCTTCATGTTTGCTAGAAATACAGTTACCCAACTACTGGCTGACTGACAGTGATCAGCCAGTAGGTAAATTGTGCCATTGTTGACTTAACTCTTCTTAGCCACAAATACAATCCCAGGTTGTGTAAATTCAAAAATGCTAGCTTCCCTTAATTGTATTTTCCTTTGTTTGGTGCCCCTGTGGTGTTCCACTGTGGAGTTTTTAAATGATTCCACAGGCTACTTGGGGAAAATTACTTTTGATAGCCAATCTTACATGTCCACATGTCATGTAACTCTTTAACATGTCAATTCTTTAAGCAGTATATTTTTCTTAAACTTTTTTTGAGAGAATACTATTCCTAGCCAAACATGTTGGCACACAACTGTAATCCCAGCACTCAGGAACCTTATGCAGGAAGATCTTGGCAAGTTTGAGGTCAGCTATGTAGGTCACTACATAGTGAATTCAAGGACAGCCTGAACTACATAGCTAAACTGTCTCAAAAAAATTCTATTGCAAGTATCCTTTTTTTTTGGTAATGGGGCTCGAACTCAGGACCTTGCACTTGTGAGAAAATAAAAAAAAGATATATATATATATTTTGTACTGGGGATCGAACACCTTGTGCTTGCAAGACAAGCGGCGGAACCACTGAGCTAAATCCCTGGCCCAAGAGTATGTTTTTTAAGAAAAGGTTATTGCTATCAGAAACTGATATTGACAGTATCTTGCATAATGAGATTGAAATTTAACTTTTTATGAAAAAATATAGAGAGGAAGACAATACACATACTTCTTAGAAATAGCAGTATGTCTTGTATTCCAAGAAGAAACAAGATATTTTTTAAGTAATTTAAAGTATGCTAGTGACACAGCAAAAGCAGTTTTAGAACTCTGTTGGAGGAAGTTCAAGCGTCCTTGGGGGGAAAAAGTGTGTAAATGCAAACAAAACTGAGGCTTTCTGGTGGACAGTGAGGCCTCTCAACCCCAGTGGTCCTCTGTTGATTGTTTCTGATCTTCACTGAGGAAGCTTTGGGCCTTCTACTATGATCTCCACTCCCTGCACTGCCAGGGTGACTGCAGTCCCCACATCCTTTCCTCCCTAGTAGTGTCAAGTACAAGACACATCATCTAGGCTTTTATTTAAACACAAAAGCTTTTTAAAATAGACTTTCTAAATTATGGAAATACTTTTGTTTTAGCAGACCCATTGTGAGTCAACATCAAATGAGAAGGGATTAGACTGCACTTCCCATTCTCCAGTCAGCAGTATTGTTTGCCTGTCATTTGCTACAGTATTCATTGCAGATGCTTTCTCTTTAACAACATGACCATTTTGACTTCTCATGGCTTTCTACAAGATAAAAATGATTCCTTATGGTCTGATTTTTTGGTTTCTCTTTGTGGTACTAGGGATTGAACCCAGAACCTTTGCTCTAAGCTGTATCTCCAGCCCTTTTTAAATTAATTATTTTGAGACAGTGTTTCATTAAGTCACTAAATTGCCCAAGCTGAGCTTGAATTTGTGATCCTCCTGCCTCAGTGCCCTCAGAGTTCTAGGATTACAGGTGTATACCACCATGCCCAGCTCTGATTTATATTCTTAACATAGTACTGGAACTTCCAGAATCACCTTAGAACTTCTCTCTAAACACATGCCAAAACCATTTAGAACAATTTATTCTATTTCAAGAGACTGGGAGTTTCCATTGTTCTTTCCTGTTAAACTGTGCCATATCACTTAGTTTCTCTCTTTTTTTATTTTGAGACAGAGTCCGCTAGGTAGCCCCACACAGGCGTGTGCCACCACCCCCAGCACTTAGTTTCATACTCTTCTACAATCATTTAAAATGCCCACCAGAAATCAGCCTGAATCTCAGGGGACTGCTGCTGGGTTGCTGAGACTAATTGACTTAGATCTGCACACTGCTGCCCATGTTGTCTATTGTGACCGCAGAGACATACCCTGAAGGAGGGCCTTCATTTTTATTTTCAATTTCTTTCTTATTTTTAATTTTTTTTTACTTTTTTCTTCTCTTTTCAAAAATCTTTTTCTTTTTCTTTTTTTCTTTTCTTTCGCTCTCTCTCACTCTCTTGCTCTCTCTTTCCCACCTTGTTCTTCATCTCCCCCAAAAGTTCTTGTTCCTGCCCTAATTCAGATTTCTTTTTTCTTCTTCTTCTTTTTCCTTCTTTCAATTGTCATTAGTTTGAAAGGAAAGTGAATACAGTTTCTAGCTTCCCTGTTGCTGTTAGGTTGTTCTGTTCTTGTCTTTGTTCTTTCATTCTGTCTTTTCCTCTTGTCTTCAACAGTTTCCTAGAGTTTGTGTGATCTTCCTGTGTCCTTTGGCCTCACTTCTAACCTTTCTCTATCCCACCTATCTATCACTCCCCAACTGCTTCTAAGTCCCCATCCCAAAGGATAAAGTTGCTATACTGAAGAGTTTATTCACTATTAACATATTTTGGCCTGGTCCTCGATTTTGATTTAATTCACACGGTTAAAGTTTAGATTAATAACTACCATAAATTGTCATTTTCCAAGCTGTGCTTGATGCTATTGTTGTTGCTGATTGTATCACTTGGGCTAAGCTGTTGTGGTTGATCTAATCAGTTGTCCCTGGTATACTGAAAACGAGATTGCCTCAGAGTCATTAGAGACTCAAAACCTAAAGACCAGCTATATCTGGAAGACACCTCTGAGAAGCAATTGTTCCATAAGGGTTCTAAATACAAGGAACAAAGATACTTACAATAAGCAATATTGAAGTATCAGCCCAGGAATTAAACCAAAAACAGTA